GCCACCATGCCCAGCTGATTTTTTTTTGTATTTTTAGTAGAAACGGGGTTTCACTATGTTGACCAGGATGGTCTCGATCTCTTGACCTCGTGATCCACCCGCCTCGGCCTCCCAAAGTGCTGGGATTACAGGCGTGAGCCACCGCGCCCGGCCCATCTGATCCTTTTTACTCCCTCTCTTCCCTTTTGTTAGTGCATGAAAATTGGCAAATTCAGAAAGAAAAGACAACTAATATAAGGCACTAAATGGAAATGAAAGTAAGTTAAACAGAGGATTTTTTAAAAAAGACTGATTCCTGAAAGAGAGAATGATAGAGCTAATGTGGCAAAATATGAACAACTGGTAAATTGGGCAAAAGGTATCAAAAAGCTTTTGTGCAATTCTTGTAGCTTTTCTGTAAGTTTGAATTATTTAAAAATAAAGAGTTAAAAACATATCTATCTGATCTTTTTGGGCTAAGTATTAGTAAAGAAGACATCAACATCTAGCAGCTGCTGGGGATACAATGATGAATGACACATAGATCTTGTCCAAGAATTGTTCACAGCCTAGAAGGAGAGAGAGACATGTAAATAAATGTCTCGAGTTAATCAAGTAGGGCTCCTTCATTTCAGCATCCACTGTGGCACCCGTGAACAGATAACCAGGGTAACAGAGTCAACTGGAGATAGCCTACTTGAATTCCAGTTCCTAACTAGCTTGATTTTTCACATTTCAGAACAAAAATTAAGATTAAATGACATTTAGGTTTTTTCACAGCTCCCAAACTCTATAATTCAAAAAACAGGATTTTCTTTTCTTTTTTTCTTTTGGAGACAGAGTTTCACTCTTGTCACCCAGGCTGGAGTGTAATGGTGTGATCTTGACTTACTGCAACCTGTGCCTTCTGGATTCAAGCAATTCTCCTGTCTTAGCCTCCTGAGTAGCTGGGATGACAAGCGCCAACCACCACACCCGCTTAATTTTTGTATTTTTAGCAGGGATGAGATTTCACCACGTTGGCCCGGCTGGTCTCAAACTCCTGGCCTCCAGTGATCTGCCCACCTCAGCCTCCCAAAATGCTAGGATTACAGGCGTGAGCCACCACACCTGGCCATGAAAATATGGTTTGAAGCTTTAGGTGCATGTGTGGACCTTACTGACTGAGATTCCCTGTAGATGCTCTGGCTGGGTTATTCAGTTGGAAGACCTTCATAGTCACTAGCTTTAAGTTTTCCTGTTCTGCTACATTTCTTGCCCCTTGCTTTCCAGCTTCCATATTATGTTGCTGTTGTCTCTAATCCCATTCTTCCTGTCCTGGTGGGTTTAAAAAAAAAATCTCTTTGCCAGGCACAAGGGCTCACTCCTGTAATCCCAGCCCTTTGGGGGGATGAGGCAGGCAGATCACAAGGTCAGGAGTTCGAGACCAGCCTGTGCAGTGACACTATATTGGCTCACTGCAACCTCCGCCTCCTAGGTTCCAGTTCAAAAATTCTCCTGCCTCAGCCTCCCAAGTACCTGGGATTACAGGCACACACCACCATGCCCAGCTAATTTTTGCATATTTAGTAGAGACAGGGTTTCATCATGTCGACAAGGCTGGTCTTGAACTCCTGACCTCAGGTGATCCACCCGCCTTGGCCTCCCAAAGTGCTGGGATTACAGGGGTGAGCCACTGTGCCTGGCCCAAAATCTCTTTACTTTGTATTACTGTTGTTTTTTTGGGGAGAAATATTTGTCATCTTTCCCAGGAATGCTAACTGAAATTAATCAATGTTGTGCTATTTGTTTCCCATTCCTGACTCACACCTAATTCAGTACTCAAGACTTTCAGAGTTTGGCATTGCCTAACTTTCTCTTTACATCTTTTAATAATCCAGAGACACCACTGACCTGACCTATGGGCTGGGAGATGTGTTGTGGTGGGCTGCTCCTTAGGAACACCAGACTTCTCTGGCAATGTGGAAGGAGTTAGTCACTACCAATATGGTTTCCATCCTGACTATTTTTGTGCTCTTTTTGCTGTTCTACATTACAAAATAAACTCTTATTACAAAAATTACTTATAAATTAGCCTTATATCACTTCAGGAAAAAGTTCTTCCACGAACCTAGTCTATTGGAAAGTTGTGGCACCAAGAAGCCACTAAAAGGCATTCAGTGGAGCTATATTCACAAAGGCCTTCTGGTTGGACCTAGAAATTACTGGTTTCCCTGGTCCTGGAGGACACACTTTGAATTTTGGTTGCACGTCAGAATTAACTACAAAATGTTTTAAAAAATAGCTGATCCCCAGCCTTCACTCCAGGCCAATTAATTGAGAATATCTGGCAATGGAGCACAGACAATGGTATTTTTTTAAAAAAGAAGTTTATTAAGAAAGTAAAGGAAAAAGAATGGAAAAAGAATGGCTACTCCATAGGCAGAGCAACCCCACAGTGACATTTTTTTAGGCTGCCCTGGGGACTCTCAAGTGCAGCAGGGTTAAGAGCCCTGATTTAGGGAGTGTTCTGGTGGGAAGGGCTTGGCTGATACTTTTGGGGCTGCTCCCAAGCTTGTTAAAGCAGCTTATTAAGTTTCCTCCTCTTGGTGGAGTCACTGCAGAGGAACTCATGTTGCTTCACTTCCACTTGAGAACTTGCAAATGAAGCAACAAAATCCTTTCATATTTTTCCTTCTGAGAAAATTGTTTGACATATGTATGTTTTTAAAGGACTTATGCGTTGAGTGTGGCTTAGGAATTACACAGCATACCTGGCTTCATGCTTCCAACCTCGGGCAGGTGCATAACATCTCTTAGCCTCAGTTTCCTCCTCTATAAAAGAGGGAATAAAAATATCATAGTGGTTAATAGATAGCAGTTCTTCTAGTTTTTAATTTTTTATTGGTTTTATTTTATTCTGAGACAGTGTATTAGTCCATTATCACCCTGCTATGAAGAACTACCTGAGAGCCTGGGAGGTTGAGGCTGCAGTGACTTGAGATTGCACCCGCTGCACTCCAACCTAGGTGACAGAGTGAGACCCTGTCTCAAAACAAAAACTATCTGAGACACGGTAACTTATGAAGAAAAGATGTTTCATTGATTCACAGTTCCCCAGGCTTAAGAGGAAGCATGATTGGGAGGCCTCAGGAAACTTACAATCATGGTGGAAGGTAAAGGGGAAGCAAACACCTTCACATGGCAGCATGAGACAGAGTGAAGAGGGAAGTGTCATACACTTTTAAACCATCAGATCTGATGAGAACTTACTATCGTGAGAACAGCAAGGGAGCAATCCACCCCCATGATCCAATCACCTCCCACCAGGCCCCTCCTCCAAT